GTTTTTATAAGTGGGCCAGACAATTAGCATGCAATTGCAGAATAAAGAACGTGCATTTATCTATAAGTCCCATTATGGGGCTAGACTTCTATCTGAGGTGTTGCATTTAGTGGTTGCATTTAGGGAGGTCTGACTGTATATTAATAAATATTAATTTTGTGTCAACAGTAATTCCATATTTATTCAATATATTAATTAAGTATTAATTCTGTATCGGCAATAATTCTGTATCTATACAATATATTAATTAATTCTGTATCAACAATAATTCTGTATCTATTCAATATATTAATTAAGTATTAATTCTGTATCAACATAATCCCGTATCTATTTAATATATTTATTCAGTATTCATTTATTATATAACCTTATTATTCTGTATATATATTATATTCCGTATATTATCTGTAATTTTTTGTACATTATCTATAATTTTCTTTATTATTTTTGTAACTGTTTTTTCATAGGGTACGCATGAATGGGAACGCTGATTATTGACATTAGAGGTGCAGGTGAATTCGTAACTTTTGCCGAACAGGAGAAACCGTCCAAATATGGATATGGTTTTATTTCTCCGTTACACAGATCACTCATTGCATCGACCAGTCAAAATATTAGTCAACCAATCAAATTGCGAAATTTACAAAAGACGAAACCATGGGATTCAAGGGGATTCAAAAAATATGTTGTAAAGCAAAGTGAGAACTTCATGTTTGTTTAACCATTTTCAATATACATAGAAAAGATAAGTCAAGCGAGCCTTCCAAAAAAAGTATTGTAAAATAATATAAAAAAAATTTTCATCAATTGTGTAACGATTTTGTTACGTATCAACGGTTCCTCTAACTTGTCGTAACATAATAAAGTTAAGGCAAAAATGTCGTAACTCATTATAATAATTACATATTACAAAGATAATTGCGATAAGTTACGGCATCATTGGGATGATTCACCTGCACCACTAATTGACATGATTGATTATTGAATCGTTATAAGACTTTTAAATCGTTTAACCATGTTGCATATAAGCGGTCATTCGAGGTTAACTTGTTCCAATTCCTACGACAATGGCTTTACTAAATTTTTATTCACTATCAATTTTTTTAATTCTTAGGTTTGTAAGTCAAGTAATCAGTGATAGTCCAGGAGCAAGATTATGTCACTGTCTCTTTGCATATGATAATGCAGTCTACTTATTTGGAGGTGATATCAAATGGAATGATAGTGTAGTAAATTCGTTTTTTCATAAAGCAAAAATGCCATTTACCACCTCTTCAATTCCATGGTAAGCCCTTAATACCACCAATACTTTTAATACTTGCGATATGACATGTATAGTCGAACCTTCTTTGGGATTGCTTCTAATCATTGGTGGATCACATCCACCAGAAGCCGGACTTCAAGTTTATAACTTTACATCAAATGTTTGGAATGAAGATAATGAAATTCAAAATTTGAATAATTATCCTAAAGAGATTGGTCTAATTTTTCAACCACGATCAGTTTTAATCGAACCGAGAGTTATACTCATCTGGGGTGGTTTACCTTATTATTCTCTACTTCGTGTTATTTATAAATTGAACATGACAGTGAATCCATGGAGATGGGAATCGATCGAACGAAATGCAAGTATAATATTGATTATTAACTATCACTGAATCTGAAACTAATTCACCTGATTAGTTACATAAACTGGTGATCTATCTAATCACTTAGTGTATTGATTAGTTTCAGCTTCAGTAAAGTTCAACATCAGCGTGACATGATAAATAACTTCTTTATACTATTATAGTCGTCAAAAATTCTGAATTGTGTTGGAATTGCTCGTTCAAGAGATGGCGTGTTTATTTTCGGTGGCATAGATAAATATATTCCGATTATAGAAAATGGAGAATACAGAGAAGGCGCCCCAAGTGATTTATCATATATTTATAATATTACGGAATCACGTATTATTCAGCCGAGATATCAGCTTCCCTTCAATTTTACTCATTCAGTAGTAGGGGTTATCGGCGATTTTATGCACATTATTGTGTTAAGTTATAATGATTATCTTGAGGATAAACAGATATCTATCATTCCTTTTAATTTTGCCCGATTTAAATTTGAAAGTCCCGTTGTAACATCTACTAATTTGACAATGACCCGACTTCGTACGGCCGGAGTCCAGCCTCCTGGATCAGATGTAGTATTGGTAAAAAAAAAAAAAAAATCCTTGCTTTACTTTATTTTAAATCTCTGATTTCACTATATATTATTTAATAGATATATGGTGGTATTATTTATCAAAATTCAAGTGCACCCGAAACCGGTACTATATTAGACACGATGTTAGTATATAATATGACACTTCGTTCGTGGACAGACACTGTGAATCTTGTGACAGATGCTTCTGCCTACAATTTCGACTTTTCTAATACAATCAATACTTTAAGCTTTCCAATCAATACTTCACGGTGGCCAATAACGGCAATTGGTTTAACTATATCAATTGCTATCTTAGCGGCTTGTATTATGGCCGTTGTGGTTTTCTTAGTTAAAAAATTAAAGGAACTTAAATCAGTCATGTTTATGGGAGTATATATTTAAATAGGTGAGAGTTTGACGACGCTATTTCTATGTTTCTAAGTATATTGCTGATTATGTTTTATATTTCTCAATTAATATCTAGTGATAATAATAGAACATGTAAATGTTAAAGGACCCTGAGATATTACAAATAGATCAGATTAGAGTTTCCGAAACTACTGCTTTGTGTTTTTAAATAACAATCGGATTTATGAATACTTCAGGATCTTTATTTTAAGCAGCATATTTTTCATAGCTTTATACTAAGATACATATATATTATGTGTTTAATTGTTCTTAAAATTGTTTTTGTTCGCGTTTCTTTTTCCTAAATTATTTCAATGATCATGACAATCTTACCTTCTAACCTAATTTTTAGGTATCATCATTAATCGTTTCATCTGTATTATTGTTTTGAATTTATGATTTGTACTTTAAGATAATTTTAAATCTAGGTGAGTCTTAACCACTCTAGTAGGTCACAGATAAATTAGTCTAAGCTTTTATTCTTGCATATAATTTTTATGTATTTGCCTTTGTACAATTTAAGTTTTTTTTTATATGGTTTCTTTATGTAAATACTTAAATAGTTTCTCAATAAAGATATGAGCATAATCTCACCTTAGAATATATATTACCAATTTCGGACATCTGAGCAATCAAATTTAGACTTCTTAGCAATCATATTCGGACATTTAACCAATCAACTTTGATCATAGCAATTAAATTCAGAGAGTATCTAGTAACTCAAATAGTGTGATTTTGGTGCCATTCTTTTGTCAAGACGAGTCGAATGGTATCAAAATCACATAACTTAGATCGCCAAATCACAAGATATTACTGTCCAAGTTTGATTGATATTAAGTGCACAAAAAAATCATTGATCGATGAATGATCAAAAAAATTTTTCTTATATCAATCAAAAATTAATTATATATGTAGTCAAGTATAATTGATCAAACAGAATTTATAAGCTCGAGCATACATAATCAATCAATTATTAGATTAATCATTGATTGATTGTATTATATCTATCCAGAGATTGACCCGTGCTCTATCTGCCATAAAAACAAACCAAGTTACTTTAATGATTTAAGTGCAAGTCTTGAATGTGGACAGGTTATGCGTGTTGTCGATCACACGTAAAGTTCTTTAAAGTTCATTAATGTAGTCCGGGAATATACCATAGATGGATAGTGATGATTACACCTTTTATGGAAATAGATCATCGCTCAATCGATTCTGGAAATTTCTAAAGCATGTTCCAAGAATGATCGCCGACCAATCAAATTAAAGATCGGTTATCAAGTAAAAATTTTTTTTTACTTCGCTTTTTTAAAATTAATTTATTTTTATTTAATATAACTATTATATAGAATATAACTACAGTACAATTTACATATTTAATTCGCTGCCATTATTAATTTTAAAATTACAGTCTTCATCTAACACTAAACTAGTTTTCGTGCTATGTTCCAATTTTCCATGCTATTTAACGAATGTAACAAATGTACCAAACTCTTATACTGTGTCCCGAATCTACCTAACTCTTGTCCCGAATCTATCAACCCTTGTGCTGTGTTCGTCCTATATTCTTACATTCATATTGTACTATGTTCGTCCAACTATTACGCTCATCCCAACTATTATACTACGTTCGTTCTAACTACACTACATTTGTTCTAACTACACTACGTTCGTTCTAACTACACTACATTCGTTCTAACTACACTACGTTCGTTCTAACTACACTATGTTTGTTCTAACTACACTACGTTCGTTCCAACTACACTACATATGTTCCAACTACACTACGTTTGTTCTAACTACTCTAACTACTCTAACTACACCACGTTCATTCTAACTACACCACGTTCATTCTAACTACACCACGTTCGTTCTAACTACACCACATTCATTCTAACTACACCACGTTCGTCCTAACTACACCACGTCATTTCAACTATTCTACGTTCGTTCCTATTGTTTTATGTTTGTCCCAATGATTAATACACTAGCAAAAATACGTTTCTTCATTTTTTCACTTAACAATATATAGAAACAATTATAAATTTACAATCTCATTTATCTTTTTGTAGACAATTTACTTCGCGGGATTATTTGGGATTGTTGAAGTTTGTCGCTTTTATTTTTTTTATTTTTTTTTAATTCTTTGACAGTCTTGCCAGTGCTCAATTTATTTAAGACTATATTTAGGTGAGAGTTGAA